GCCGAGACGATGCCCCCTCCCCGCCTTCCCCCAGCTGATCCCCGGTGTAGCCGCATCTGCCCTCCTCACCCCCAAACAGCTGAAACTAACATTCCTGGTTCACGTTTCTTGAGGCCGCTTCCCGCCGAAGCAGTGAGAACCTGGCGCCAGGCGGAAACGGCCACGGCCATACTGTTGGCATGTCTCCCCCCCCAACTGTCCCGCCCCCCCCACCCCACTCCTCCTATGTTTTCCTTCCTCTCATCCTCTCTCTCCGTGTCTGTCCTTCTCCGCTCACAGGGTTTTGGGTTTGTAACTTTTGAAACTAGCTCAGATGCTGACCGAGCCCGGGAGAAGCTGAATGGGACGATCGTAGAGGGACGGAAAATTGAGGTGCTCAGATAAGTGTGCTGCGCAGGGCGTGCCCTTGAGAACCGCCACTGTCGCCCAGGTCCCCCTCCCCCACCCCTCAGCCACCCTGCGGAGAGCCGGGCCAGGGTCCCCGGAGCAGGGCGGCAGGGCGGGGAGGGCAGGGCCCCGCCAAGGCCGGAGCCCAGCCCATCTCCTGCCACCCCTCCTGGGCCCACCCAAGGGCCCCCTCCCTCTGCTTTCTGGAGGAGGCCCCCCAACTGTGGGAATCAGCCAGACCCTGGGAGGAGCCCCGAAAATCATGTGTTTGAGGCTTGGCAGCTCCAAGGACCACAGCCAGCTCAGTCTGTCCCCCAGCTGGGAGGTGCTGTTAATCCCCTGGACCCCTCCCAGCAGGGAGTGGCAGCTGCCCCCTGTCCTCCCCTCCCCAGCTGCCAGGAAGGGACCTAGCCCTGAGGAGCAGCAGAGAGAGGAGGTCAGGGGCCCCCCCTCAACCCCCCTTGCCCCTTTTCTGGTGGGCTGCCCATCCCCCCCCACCCCAGTGCCGTGGCTCTAGGTGTCTGGGAGCTGGGCTCCTGGACAAGCAGGGCAGTGAGGGGTGGCCAGAGAGGGGAGGGGGTCAGCAGCAGTACAGAGTCCACGGGAAGAGAAGTGGAAAGGCCTGGGGGGAGGGCTTCCAGAAGCAGAAGGGGTCCTGGAGGCCCTGACCTCGGCCAGTGGTTCATGCCCAGTGGGCACCTGAGGATGCAGCCCGAGGCCCAGGGGTTCACACTCCATGTGGTAGAAGCAGAATGGCCCCGACTCCTTTCTTGGGTTCCACCACCTGCCCTGTTCTCTACTTCCTACCACACAGGCCTTCCCCCCTGCCTTTCTACACCCCAGCCTGGCCCTCCAGGGGGAGGGTCTTAGATGTCTGAGATAGGACCCACCCCCTTGGCGCCCACCCACCCGCCCCCTCTCCCATTGGCCTTGCTCCCGAGGGGTCCCATCAGGAACTCTCTGCTGGCCTCGGGAATGGCGTGCTACCCCCATGAGAGGGGTGCCCGTGACTGGGAAGGCCTCAGCAGCCAACAAGGGCACAGAATGTCTTGGGGGCCGGTCTGTCAGTTGGGCTGAGAGCACTTTGTGGAGAGTCCACCAGCTAGCTTCTCCAGTGGCCTGGGGTTGCCAGAGAGAGACTGGGGCTTGGTTTGTGGGAGCAGCACGTGAAGGGCAAGAACCAGCGGGCCGGACATGGTGCCTGAGCCGAGGGCTAGGAGCCGTGGTGGCCAAGGCTCCCTGGAGTTGCGGGGGCAGCACAGTGGAGAGGGGCGGCCTGGGAGGAGGGCAGGCCAGGGTGGGGGGCCAGGCGGGCAGCAGAGGCTGTCCTGGGCCTTCCTCCCAGCCCCCAGCCCCCTCCGTGTGGCCATGCAGGAACAGTGCAGAGCAGGACCGGGGTGGCCAGACGCCTGCAAGGAGGCTAACACTCCCCTCACCCTCACCTTCTCCCTCCTTCTCTCCGGGTAGGTCAATAATGCCACAGCCCGTGTCATGACCAACAAGAAGACTGCGAACCCCTACACTAACGGTAAGGCGCCACGGGGAGGCCACGGGGAGGCCACGGGGTGGTCGGCCTGGACACGGGCCCTGGAGGAGCCTCGGCCGCTGGAGGCCCACCGCCCTGGATGCCAAGTGCCCCCTCATGTCCCAGCTCTGCCGGGTCAGCAGGAGGACTGGGGCCGCCCACCCCACCCACACAGTTGGCAAGACGCCTGGGCCTTCCCAAGCACACAGGGCACCCAGAAACCACGTGGACAGGCTTCGGGCACAGTGGGTGTGGCCACTTCCTGGATTACTACTTAGTTTCTAAGCAGTGAGGGAGCGCCTGGGTTAGAGGTACTCAATATTCAGTGAAAGTGAAGATGATTTAGGATAGTTCCCCACCCACCATGGAGACACTGGAAGGTTGAGGCCCCCACGGGAGCCTTGCCATCCATAATGCGCTTCAACTGAGTGGTCTCACATGCACGTGCCGGACCCAAGCAGAAGCCAGTCCTCCTTGAAGACAGAAGCCCAGAGGCTGAGTGGAGGGGTGGCCCTCAGCTGCGTGTCTTGACTCCACCCGGCAACGCGGAGGGGTTTGCGTGTAGCCAGCAACTCCCTGGGGCCTGTTTGAGTTCATCCCCCTGCCAGGGAATGGCAGCCCTGCTCACAGTCAGGATAAGTCTCCCTGCGGGGCGGGGGCTTGGCTTCTCACCCCCCAGCCTTCCTGTCCCTGTGTGATTGGCCACACAGGGACTCAGGTGACAGGCCAGCAAGGGGCAGGACACTGGGGGGGATCTGCCACGGGACCCACCAGCAGGGCCTCCCCCTGTGCCCTCCTGGAGCAGGACAGGCGTCTGGCTGAGCCACATTTAGGCTGGATTATTATGCCTCCCATCCTGCTTTCCTGAGGACTATGAAAGCTCAGAGCTTTCCTAAAAATCTGAGGGTGCCTGACTTTGCCAGTGTCCTGAACTCCCGTTGAGTGCTTGGCACTGGAAGGCAAAGTGGTAGACAGACGTGTTTAGAGAGTCAGGACGATCATCAGGAGCCAGATGCCCACTTCACCCAAGAGCCACACCCCCTACTGTCTGGCCAGGCCTGAGAATGCCAGGAAGCATGGAATTCAGAACAGAGTCCACGCCTGAACCACTGCATTCCTGGCCCAGGATGGGCACGGAACCAGCACTGCTTGCACAAGGATCAGCCGGGGGCTCACAGCAACAGTCTCACCGAAGCGTCCTCACTGGCCTGAGCAAGGAGGACAAGGGCCGCAGTGGGCTGGCCCCAGGTTCTCTATGGGCTGACAGTGAAGTGCAGCATGTGGGCTGTGGTGGCCTGGGAGTGTGGCTTGAAGACTCTAGAACACTCCAGAGCACTCAGAAGTTCATTGGTTGCGGGGGGAAGAGGAGCAGAAGTGTCCGCCGTCAAGCTCACCAGGTTTGACCAGGTGTTAAGACTATTTACAGAAGAAACAAAGGAGACTCCCAGGAGGGTCTCCAGCTGCCTCTGTCATCTGGGGTCCCACACAGTGAAATGGGACTGGCAGCAACGGGTAGAGGCCAGGAAGCCAGAGTGACAGATAAAGATGCCCAGGATTCCAGAATCGGCAGGTGGATGTGCCAGGACCATCTCAAGAGAAGTCCCACCTCGAAGAATGGACTCAGAAAAGCCACTGGGTTGGGGCCCGGGGGAGGGGGGCTCGGGTCATTGCTCTAGGACACTGCTCCGTCATGGGTTTTTACTAAGAAAACTACGTTCTTGGGACTGGAGTTCTTTTTAGGAGATGAAATATTTCTTCCCTCCTGATCTGGGATTCAGAGAAGGTTCCAGAGTCTCAGCATTAACGTTCAGACAGAGCCACGCTGGTCAGGTGATGGTGGAAGGGGAGGGAAGGTGACCACAGTCTCATGGAAAGTGGAGAATGGGCCCCTAGGAAGAACACGGTTGCCGACGGTCTGTCCTGAATGCCTTCCGGCCACCCACCCAGCAGTGGGGATGTTAGAATCTGGGAATGAGGCTCACAGAGCTGACGCTAATGACCTGCTCTGGCCCTTTGCCATGCTCTCCAGAGGTGTCTCGCTAGCTGGCCAGTGGGCTCAGTCCCTTTTGTCCCTCCTCACAAAGTCAAAAGGGGTATGGAGCTGGACCTTCAGGGCATCCTGCAAACATAAGACCAGGTACACTGAGGGGGCCAGGGGGCTGGGCTCGGTCAAATATACCATTCCCAGCCCATTCTATCTGAGCTAGCGCCTGGGGTCAGAGCCCCCTCAAAGCCAGCTGGTGTCCATCCCCAGGGGCCTCAGATGGAAACAGGCTTCACTCCTGCACCTGGGTCCCTGGTGGGAGAAGAAGACTGGCCCAGAAGCCGAGGGCCCTGAGCCAGCGGCCTGAGCCGGCCCGCCTGCAAAGAGGGAGAGGCGGCGGGTGCCGACAGCTGGGGGCCAGGGAATGGCCAGCAATGTGGGTTTGGTTTGGATCTGGCTCTGCCACTTGCCCGCTCTGGGCTGTGAGGCTGCTGCACCTCCCTGACCTCCACTTGCTCATCTGGAAAACGGGGGGGTGTGACACCCACCTCACTGGCTGGCTTTAGAACACCGTGGCACGTGGTGAGATGCTCAGGAAATGTGGTCATTATTACCTCGAATCCCAAGGCCCTTTCCTCCCCAGGAAGCCGTTCCACTGGCTGCTCTGAGGATGGCCAGGGCAGGACTGGGCAGTGGGGAAAGAGCTCCACGCCAGGACCGAAGCTGCGGGGCAGGAGGTGGGAGGAGTCTGCGGCAGAAGCCCCGCCCCTCACGCAGCCTCCCACCCTGCTGGAAGGCAGCCAGGCCCCCACCGGGGACAGCTTTCCGATGCCTGGGCTCTGTCATGTGCTGAAGCAGGGGCGCCCCCAGACTCCTCATCCCGGCTGTGGGCCTGCAGATGTCCCTTCCTAATTCTGGCGGAGACTGCAGACTCCAAGCTGCTGGGCTGGGGCCCCGGCTAGGCTGGGGTGGGCCGGCTTTTGAAATGAATCACAAGGACAGCCAGGCAGATGGGTCAGGAGTGACTTGGTCCCTGGCATTTAGGGAGCAGAAGGTCAGACCCGGTGAGGCTGCAGCATCCGAGGGGCCGGGGTCTCTGCTCACCCTGCCTGCAAAGGGAGGCGGTCCGGCCAGCCATCAACAGAGGCCCCGCCTTACATGGGAGGCCCCAGGAGAGTGTGAGGTGGGGAGAGAATGGGGAAGACGGTGATTGGGGTTTTTTGCTTCTCTTCTAGGCTGGAAGCTAAATCCCGTGGTAGGCGCAGTCTACGGGCCTGAATTCTATGCAGGTACAGGCTGGAGCCCTCATTCTGGGTGTGAAGGGCCGGGGGGCGTGGCCAGAGGGCGTGGCCAGGAGGGGCGTGGTCGTGCAGGTGTGGTTGGGCGGGGCCAGGTGTGGTTGCGCCCCGGCCGGGCCCTTGGGCCTGCCCTCACCCTCTCTGGGCCTTCCCTCTCACCGCCTCTTCTCTGGCCCCCTTTCCTGCAGTGACGGGGTTCCCCTACCCCACCACGGGCACAGCCGTTGCCTACAGGGGCGCGCACCTACGGGGTCGGGGCCGGGCCGTGTATAATACGTTTCGGGCTGCGCCGCCCCCGCCCCCCATCCCAACTTACGGAGCGTGAGTACTGGGGAGGCACGGGGAGGGAGGCATGGAGAAAGGCCCAGGGGGTGCGGGGAGGGAGGCCTCGGGCAGCCAGAAGGGCTAGGCAGCCTTTCCAGAACTGTGGGGGGCTGTGGGAACCCCCAGACCTTCCCACTGCAGTTGCCCCCATATCGTACCCCAGCCCCACCCTGCCATGGGCACCAAGGGTCACTGGCATTTGGGGGACATTTAGAGCCCCAGCACCTTGCTGGATGATTTAATGGGATTGTGGTTGGCCCTTAAGCTGGGTGAGGGCCTGCTCTAAGCCCTCCCTGGTCCATTACCCTGGGCCCAGTGCCCTCCGCCCCTATGGGGGGGACAGCTGCCTGGGCTGGGGTGGGGGGAGGGTAAGCACCATGGGCCGAGGGGCCCCTGGCTTTGTGGGAGAAAGGAGCTGACCAGCAAGGGTGTTACTCTATTGTTATACCAAAACAGGGCGCTGGAGCAAACGCTTGTTAAAATGCCAGTCCCATGGGCAGGGCTGGCACCCTGCCCCCTCCCTCCTCAGCAGACACCGGAGCCGGCCTACCCCACCTCTCCAGCGTTCCCACCACTCTCTTGTCCGTTTGCTTCCAGGGTCGTGTATCAGGATGGCTTTTATGGTGCTGAGATTTATGTAAGTGCAGCCCCCTGGCGGGGGGGTGGGTGTGGTCCAGGCCTTCAGCTGATTTCCAGGGTCTTCCCCTCCCGGCCCCCCTCCCTCACCCATCCCTCCCTATCCTTGGGACCTGGGAGGGTGAACGTGCGCAGGACACTGGGTCCTTGGGGACCTTGGCATAGCTGAGCCTGGGCTGTCTGTGCCCACGTCGTCTCCAGTCCACAGGACGCTGGGTGATGGGGGCAGGAGGGGCGACTCTCCTGTATCCCTAACACATTGGGGTCACTGAGTGAGCCCCCATGGGCACCCATGTCTAGTACAGAGACCCGGAGAGAGACCAGGAGGCAGGGGCTCCAGGGTGGACCCCATGGTGAGGTCCTGTGGCGTCTCTCTCCCTTCACGGGGCTGCCCCTACTGCTTCCTCTCGCCTGGAGCCCCAGCTGACGACCCCACCTCACACACATACCCAGCCCAACATGAGACCTTGCTTCTGTCCTGGGCAGTTGCCCATAATTCAACAGTCCCTTTGTGCCAGGGCCAAGACATGATCTGAGTTTGCCCTTGACCCTTCCCAGTATCCGGGATGGCCCCCAGAGTCACCCATGGGTTCTTGGCACCCACTGGCATCAAAGTCAGGGGCTCACTGGGCTGGTGCCAGGTCTGTGGGCACTGATCATGTGCCAAAACCATGAGCACAGTCAGACGTATCATCGGTGCCCACGGATGGGTGTTGAAGGTGTGCTCCCTGCCCCCGCCTCGAGCCATGCCACTGACCGTCTGCAGTCCTTAGACCTCAAGCTAGGTGCCCCCAGGCCTGCACCAGCCAGTGCTCACCCGGCCACGGTGAAGGTTGAAAGGCTGTGTTGGCCCTACTAAGTCCCTGTGCTGTCTCTCCCTCCCCCTTCCCCTGCAGGGGGGCTACGCAGCCTACAGATACGCTCAGCCTGCGGCAGCCGCGGCAGCCTACAGCGACAGGTATGGGACAGGGTCGGGGTGAAGAGGGCCAGCGGGACAACAGGGCCCCTGGAGGGGTGGGCTCAGATAGAGGGGAAGACTTACCCGCGGCTCAGGCCTGGGGGAGCCTCCTCCTGGTGGCGCAGGGTCTGGACAGAGAGCGCTGAGCCAGCGAGCCCCCGATTTCTTTAGTCACTTGCTGCTGGCATGGCTGGGGAGGCCGTGCCACCCCCCACCGTTCAGTTCTCCTCTGATTTCCAGCCCTGGAGGCCTGAGCCCTCCCTGAGCGCTGGAGGCCCCGGGTGAGCAGGGGAGTTCGGAGGCTCTGCTTCTGCCCCTGGGCGCCCCTCAGACCCCGCTCAGGGCTGCCGGGTCTGAGACCCCTTCACGCTGAGGAGAGGCTGTGAGTGCACCCTCCTGGTGGGGGGGTGTGAGGACACCAGGTGGGCAGTGTGGCCGTTGGAGAGCAGCCAGCCTCCTGCCCAGCTTCGAGCACACGCAGAGGATGGCGGGAGGCTCTGGGCAGTGAGGGCAGGTCCCCGGGGCTCCCCCCAGGAGTGGCCTGCCTGGCACATGGGCACAGAGCCCCTGCTTAGGGACGTGTGGGAGTCCCCGCGCCTGGCACTGATGGGCTCTGGCTCCCTCCCGCCCAGCGGCACCCTCAGACCCCTGCCATCGCATGTGTTGGGGGGGAGTGGGGGTTTGTGGGGTGCACAGCAGGCCCAGCCCTGTGCTACAAGAAGCAGGCATTTCACACACACAATAAGTGGAGAGGACACAGTGCCACTTCCTTCGTGGTGGCCTCCCCGCCTGCCCCCACGGCCTCCCGTCCTGCTCTGAGCCTTTCCGCAGCACTCCGCCCTTGTTCTTCCGGGGGGTCGAGGTTTTCTTCCCTCCAGAGCAGCTCTGTGGGCACTCCTTTTTCCTTCCGTGTGGCCCCTTGTCAGGGTGAGCGGACACTGGGAGAATTGAGAGGGTGGCCAGCTGTGTTCCGGACACTTCCTTCTAAACGGGCAGGAAAGACGGGGAGGAGGGTGGGCGGGGGTGGGGGGAGTGGCTGGCAGGCGGGACCACCCTGGAGGATGCTCACCAACTGTCTGGGAGGAGGCGGGAGACCTGTTGCGGCCCCTCACCTGCCCCCATTGCCCCCCCACGCCTCCCTCCCTCCCTGTGCTGTCTCCCCAGTTACGGCAGAGTCTATGCAGCCGCTGACCCCTACCACCACACCATCGGCCCCGCGGCGACCTACAGCATCGGAACCATGGTAAGGAGGCAGGGCGGCCTGGCCCTGGGCACCAGCTGTGACGAGGAGGGCCTGGCGCCACAGCCAGGATGGGGTGGGAGGGAGGAGAGTGACCCGGACCCCTGACCAGTGCCCGGAGGGACCAAGGCCTAGATGGAAGCTTGGGGGAGGACTTGCCCCTCGGTGCCCTCGGGGACTTTGAGGGAGGCAGGTCCGCCCAGACGGGCAGCTGCCCAGTAAGGACGTCTGGCCCTCTGGGGAGCAGCCTGGGACGCCCGCTTTGCCCAGTTTTCTGAGGCTCCAGAGGCCAGCAGGGCCTCCGCGCCACTTGTGGGGCTGTGTCCGCCGCGTCCCTTCTGTGTCCTGTCGCCCCTTTCCTCACATCAGGGAGCGGGACGAGGGCTGCCCGCAGCTTCCCTCCCCCCAGGCCCCTCCGCAGCACCGTGGCCCGCTCTCGCCAGCCCCCGCGTACTCCTGGGGGGCCCGCGGCAGCCGGAGGTGTGCGGGCCGGTGTGTCTGTGTGTGTGTGTGTGTGGATGGTCAGCTGTGGACACAGGCAGCCCAGCTTACTCTCTACCCCGAGACCTGCTTCCAGGGGACACCTGTCTCCTGTGCCCACCCACCCCCAGCCCCAGGGGCTGTTCATGTCAGTTTTTAGCTAGCTTGGCGTCCAGCATCAAAGATGAACACATTTTCCCTGGGGGGTGAGGGGCAAGGAGGGAGGAGGCCCAGAGCCAATAGGGACTCATTGTTCCTTCTCACTTGGTTTTGATTACTTCCTCCCGATTTTTGTTTTGACTTTTTTGATTTTTAACAAGTTTCCGGCATCCCCAGCAGGCTGCAGTCACCCAGATGGGGGCCCCAAAAGTGCAGTTTGTGGGCCCCTTGGCTCCAGGGTCAGCTCGGCCCTCTGAGCGGCTGCTGGCTAGAAGCTTTCATTCATTCACAGAGGGGCCCCTCTTATGTTCTCATTTTTATTTGTAAGATTTTCATTTTTTTCCAAGTTTTTTCTGCGGCTCTTGCCATCTTTTCTTTTTCTGTTGAAATTGATTGGTGGGGAGGAGGTTCCTCTGGAGACCTCCCTGATCCAGGGCAGCCCAGGGACATGGGAGCAAGAGTGCCAGAGACCTTTCCTCCTCAGCAGGACGGAGGGCCCAGGCAAGGACCTGGGTAAAGAGCAGGGACCCCAGGGGCCCCCTAAAGCTCCGAGGGGCTGGGGTAACCCTGGCAGGAGGTCCCTCCACCCTCCTGGGGCCTGCCCCCCCTCCCTCCCCTGGCAGGCAGCCCCGCTGGGGCCCTGAGACCTCCCCTGCCCCCATTAAGGAGAAAGGGGCCGGGGAAGGGTCAGGCCTGAGCCAAGAGAGTTGCCAAGAGACATCTCCAACCTTATTGTCCAGGAGCGCTGTGGCCCATGACCCCAGCAGCCCCCTGGCCCCCATCGTCCCCCACCGTGGAAGGACTAGGCCCAGGGCCCCCTGCTGCCATGAGAACCGGCATCCGCTCTCCCCAAGGCAAACCTTAATAAGGGGGGCAAAAAACGGGATTTAGCGACTTCTTTTTGTTTTTCCTTATTTTTTTTTTTCTTTTTGCTTTTTCCCCCCTACCGAAAGGCGGTACTGATTGGCTGTTTGTCATCTTTGATGTTGCAGGCTAGCCTCTGCCGAGGAGGGTACAGCCGCTTCACCCCCTACTAGCAAGAGGGCCCAGCCCCTAGCAGCATTCACACTGACTGCCCAGCACACACCAAACCCAGCAGGCCAAAGCCAGGCACAGCCACCAGGAGGACAGTGCGCCCCCCCCAGTCAGCGGCACGCGACGCCAAAGCCCATAGGGTTCACCTCCAGCCAGCTGGTCTCCCTGCCCCTCCCGATGGCGTGTGTGTCTTTGACCCTGGTTACCCCTGTATGTCTGAAACCTTGCTTCCTATTTTGACTTTGTTGACGTTGTGCCCCCAAGCCATTTCAGGTACGGTATGCACACAGCGGGAGGGGCTAGCCTGGGCACAAGACCCCTCCCCGAGAACTAGCAATAGAGCCCGCCAGGGCGACCCCCTCTTCCCATCCCCTGGGGCTCAGGGAATGAGGAGGAGCCCACAGCCACTGTCCGTCCCCTGGGGCTCAGGGAGTGAGGAGGAGCCCCGGTCCACGGGACGCGGGGTTTCCGGCCGAGACGATGCCCCCTCCCCGCCTTCCCCCAGCTGATCCCCGGTGTAGCCGCATCTGCCCTCCTCACCCCCAAACAGCTGAAACTAACATTCCTGGTTCACGTTTCTTGAGGCCGCTTCCCGCCGAAGCAGTAACAAGCACGGTGCAGGCGGAAACGGCCACGGCCATACGGGCCTCGGGGCTCCTTCCGTAGCCTCTGTTGTAAGCAATGAAAGCGTAGGAAGAAATGCCCCCGCGCACCCCCACCGAAGCCGAGGGCCCCCGGCCTGCCGTGCTCCTTCCAGCAGCGGGCTCTCCCCTCCAGCCAGGCTCCGAGGATGGCACCTCGGCACCGCCTGAGATGGGGTCCCGGCCAACCTGGGCACCCTGCCCCTTCCCCAGGCTTGGAAACGTCCTTTTATCAGGGTACATTTCAGAAGGGGCGAGCAGGGGAGGCACAGGGGGAGGCCCATCGCCGGCCTTCTTGGCGAGACAGCACTCGATGCCAGCCTCCCGTCCGGAGAGGCTTGGTGCTTAGGTCTGCGGCCGAGTGGCCGCACGGTGCCCAGGGCTGCGCTGGGCCCTTGGCGGGGGGGGACATGCTGGCCGGGGTCCCGTAGGGAATGCTGAGACAGCCCAGGTAGCCTCATGGGGTAGGCTGCCCGGTCAGGATGGTGCCCTGCCCCCTCCGTTGCAGGAGGAGGTGTCTCGGGCCAGGGAAGCCCAGGTCCCCTAGCGTGCCAGAGCTGGGCTGTGGGTGCCAGCTAGAGGGTGTGGGTCCCCCACCAGCCAGGACACACCGGCTCTCAGCTGCTGGACCGGGCGGATCACGGCCTGGGTGCCGGCCCCTCACTTCCCACCTCCGGGAGCACCGCCTCCTTGCTGCCTGGCTCAAGGCCCCTTGTGGCCTGTGCCGTGCCATCCATCCACCATGCCCCCCCCCGTCTTCGTCCGCCCAGAGCCAGCCAGGCCCCTGCCCTGCTCAGCTCTAGCAGAGCCCACAGGCTGCGCCCCCCAGCCCACTTCCTGTGGTTTCTGCTCCTGCCGCCCCTTCTTCGCCCCTCCCCCGCCACCGGCCCCCACGCTCTGCCCCGGAGGAGGAGGAGGAGGCCGGCTTTCGGTTCAGCTCATGCAGGACCACCGGTTCCCGGAAGCTGGGCTTGGGGGACAGGCGGGTGGGGGGCTAGGACTTCAGGGCGGCCTGGGGCCCCGGCACCCTCCCGCCCCACCCGGCGCTCCGTCCGTCCTCACACACGCCTGCAGTTGCTTCGGTGAAACTGCAAGTCCTGCCTTTCTGTTTCTGTTGTAGTGAAAGCTTCCACCGTTTCCTTCTTGGACCATGAAGGGCAAAAACAAAAAACAAAAAAACAAAAAAAAAAATCACAAAACAAAAAACAAAACAAAAAAAGATGTTAAGATCCAAGCAACAACAAAAAACAAAACAACCAAACCAAGAAGCATCCAGCACGTCCAGGTCGCGCGCGGTGCCGCACTCCACTGCGAGGGAGCACGTCCACGGGGCGCCGAGCCCAGGAGAGCCCCGGGCCCTCGCCCCTCCCCGGCCACCGTGCTGGCCGAAGTGCCCCTCCCGAGGCCGGCGGGGAGCGCAGGAGGGGAAGGGGCCTCTTCTCTACCAAGTCTTCCTTTCCGGCCCCCCACTCCCGGGGCGCGCGGGGCCCAGCGGAGGAACAGGCCGCAGGCCTGAGTGGGGAGAACAGCCAGCAGGACTTGACCTTTGCTGCCAACTGTGCCAGTGGAGGGGACAGCTGGGCTGGGGTGGGCGTGGGGGGGGCAGCTGTTCATTCCCGGGGTCTCTGGCTTCAGCCCGTGCCCGTCACCCTCGTGTCCGGCTGTCTGGGCCCCAGCTCCCCCTCGTGCCATGCCGCCAACACCATGTTCTGCAAGCCTGGGGAGGGAGTTTGCAGGCCTCCAGAGTCCGTCCGACCAGCAGCCCTGGGGTCTGACCCCAACATCAAGGGCTGACGCAGTTCCAGAACTGTGGGGCGCCCAGGCCCCCCTCGCTCCACGTGAGGGGGCTCCTGGGCAGCCTGGCCAGGATCACACCGTGAACCTAAGAGCTAGCATCGGCAGGGTGGAGGCCTTGGGGCTGAGGATGCGCTCTGGGCCCGACCAGCCTGTTTCCTGTTCCCTGGCTGGAGGCAGGCCCGGGCCTGGTCAGTGGGAGGGAAGGCCGACCTCCTGCCACCTGTGGGGCCGGGCCCTCCCCATCCCGGTCCTGCAGAGGGCCGGGCAGGCCAGCGCCTGGCTGCACGGCGAGGTCAGGAGTCACGGTGCCACGGGGCTGGACGGCCAGGCCCGAGCAGGGAGAGCGAGCGGGGGGGGAAAGGCCTGGAGCGGCGCCCAGGACCCGAGTCAGGTCCTGCCGGGGTGGTGGGAGAGCAGAGGTAGGCAGCAGGGAGGAGCCCCCCGCCAGGCAGGGATCGCTGGAGTAGGGCAAGCAGCAAAAAATAAGACATAGGCTCCCAACACGGCTCCACTGTCTCATGAAATTTAAAAAGTAAAAAAAAAAAAAAAAAAAATACACCTCACTTTATATATTCAGCATCAGCTCCTGAAGCTCCTGAAATGAGCCCCTTTTCTATTCCTGTTGTACAGCGCCCCGCCCGCCCGGCCCCTCCTGTCCAGAGCCCCCTGCTGCTCCGGACCCTTTTCTTGCGGCAGCTCCGCCCCCAGCCCCGCCCTCCCAGCCCCCCCAGGACTGCAGCCAAGCCCCAGGCTTCCTTTCTTACCATTCTGTATGCTTCCAAGGTGTGACCATTCAAATCAACAGTATTATTATTAAGATTATTAATAAAGATTTCTTTCTTCAAACCAGGACAACTCTTTCTGATTTGGCAGCCCCCGGGGCCCTGAGGGTGGAGGGCGGGCCCAGGACCCGCAGCCTGTCCCAGGATCCAGCCGGCCTTCTGCGGGGTGCCCAGCGGGGAGTCCGAAGACCCTTCTGGGCAAGAGAAGCCAGAGCCCCAGTCCTGCAGACTCCTTTCCCCAGCCCGACCCAGAACAAGCCGCCTCGCCCTGCCCCGCGCTGCGCTAAGGCTTGTGGAGTTCACCAGCGGCTTCCGGGGTGGACAGCCGCCCTGGCCCCTTCCCAGCTGAGCGGCGGCTACTGCACACATATATGCCCGCCGGGCCTCACGTCATCGCGCCGCCCAGCAGCTGTGGCCTGCCACGTGCAGGCAGGAGAGGGGACAGGGCTGGGGATGTACCGGAGGGGGCCCCCAGATCCCAGCCACACCCGGGCACTGCCCCTGTGATGTGGGTCGGGCGGAGCCCTGGCTCCTTGCGGGAGTGAGGGGGCTGCTTCAAAGTAAGCCCACGGGCGCGGGTCCCCATCCCTGCAAGGCTGCGGTGGAGGGCGGCCGCCCCCCTCACCAGCCCCTCAGGGGAGGGAGTGGAACCGGGAAGGAAAGCCGAAGTCAAGCCAAGAGCTTCAAAGCCCTGGGCTTCGGGGGGCTGGGCCGGGCCCACGTTCACAGCGCGTCCACAACGCCGCCCATCAACTCAAGCTCTTCATGTTTCACGTCGGATCATTTATTTCAGAGCGATTACACCCACCAGAGGTGCGCAGGCTTAAATGCCAACATACTCATCTTCCTGCCCATGAGCCTCTACTCTCCGTGGGACGGGGACGGTGCTCTCGGGGAGCTGGGGGTGGGTGGCCCCGCCGCACACCACGCTCTGCTAAGCCCCTCACCTCTCATCGCCTGCTCACCAGACTGTAAGAAAATAATTGCCACTTATAAATTTTTCCCTCCTCTGCATAAACTGGAGGCACAGACACTTAAAGCCAACAGGCTTTGAGAATGGAGAGCAGCCCACTTCCGGGCACCCTGCCCCGCCAGACTCCCGCCTCTGGGGACACAGGGAGCAAGGCCAGATCCCCTGGTACAAAACAGGAGGCTCAAAGCAAACCAACGGTCCAAACCGAGAACACGATGATGGAGCAGCTCCAAGCGGCAGCGACTCAGGTGCCCCCCCACCCCAGTCTACTGAGCCGTCCAGGTTCACGGAGACAGTCAGGGGTGCCGGGTGACCTGCGCTTCCCAGCTAGGCAGCAGAGGCATCCTCCTGTCCTGCTTGAGCGATCTCCCCCTCTGCTGGGCAAACGCATTCCCCACTGGGGAGCGAGCTGGCTAGGCCACGTGCAGGACACCGAGAGTAAAATGTCCCTCTGTCCCCCTGTGAAAGAGCCACTCGGGCCAGGGGGATGGAGATGGAGGCAGCCCTGGAGGGACACGCCCCTGGCTGTCCTGCGGGCCAGGTTTTCCCAGGCCACCTGACCGCACTCTGATTCCCGAATTCTGGACAGCAAGCCAGAGGCAGTTTGGCTGCACTGCCCCCTGGTGGCCTCTCCCCTCCCTACAGCGTACAACCAAGTCCGTGGCCGGGGCTTGCACCCGAGGCCGTAGGTGGGACCCCCAGCTGGGAGTGTCTTGGCCCTTGGCACCACTCCACACCACATAGCACAGGTGGAGGGCAGAGAAATGGGCAAGTGGCCCCATCGATGGCCCTACGAGACCCAGGGGTAAGAGACCCCCCAGAACGAGGGACACGGCTCAGGCCCAGGAGAGGAGCTGGGCAACGCGGCAGATACCCAAGGCTGCGGAGTGCAGAGAGCCCACCCCCAGGAGGCCAGCACGGTGGCCCAGGGGTCAACAGGGGAGCTGTGTGGCGGGAGGAGCCGTCTCCGGCTCACTCACCCCCTCCCCTCCTCCCTGCGCAGAGCCTCTGGCCAGCCTCAGCACAGGCAGAGGGAAGGAAGGTGCTAGACGACAGAGAGGGAGGCAAGAGAGGAAGGGGGCCCAATGGAGAGGGTCCTCAAAGCACCTCTGCTAGCACTCGGGCCTTAGCCCCCCGCCCTGGAGAGGCTGAGGCGGGAGGACGTGAAGGAACGACAGCCAGAGCTCCCGCGGCAAGGCTGGGCCCGGCTGCAGCCGGGGGCCTCCCAGGGCCCTGGCCGGCCTCCCGCTCCCGGAGCCTGGGCAGCCTCGCTCAGCAGGCAGCAGCTCACAGTCTGGCTCCACACAGCTTCGCCAGTACCGACAGCCCGGAGAGAGCCAGCAGGGCCCGGGCCGATGGGAAGGCTCCACAAACGGCCGCACTCACAGGCAGGAGACCGGGACAGCCAGCCACGACACGGGAAGGGCTGGGCTAGGGCGGCCCACCTGGCCCGGGCCGAGGCGCACCCTGGCGCCGGCCTGGCCCTAGGCTCCCAGCCCCCAGGGCACCCTGTCCCAGCACCCTGCAGCCCCCCCGCCACCCTCAGCCCGGGAATCGCCCCCAGGGCCTGCTCGGAGGCTTCCTGTCCCCTTTAAGCCTGTTGAGCATCAGTGTCTCTCGGCCTATTAGGGAACACCCTTTGTGCAGTTTATGGGACTAGCTTTCCCAAATGCTGTCACTCGTACCTGGGACTCTATAGTCTGGACAGGGATTAGGCAGAACAGAGTTCATTAACCTCAGGAAATTATCAGCCCAGCAAAGGGACTTCTTGGTTTTCCTGTTACCGGCCTCCACCACACAACAGCCCCAGCCCGTGGGCTCCTGGCGCCCATGGGCTTCCGCACCCCGTGAGCGGCCCCGGCGCAGAAGCAGCCTGAGCGTCGAGGGGGGAGATGCCGTGCTTTAATGCTGGCTCACGTGCGGGGTGTGGAGTAGAGCAGGGCCGCCCTGCCCCACTCGGCCTGCGGCACCAGAAACCCCTCCTTGGGGACGGGCTCCACCAGGAACTCCACACGCCCGTCCCCGCTGGGCCCCGCGGCCGCCACCAGCAGGTCCGCTATCCGATACTGGTTGACAAAGGCCAGGCCCAGGAGCACGGGCTTCTCTGGCCCCGGCGGCCCCCCGCCAGGAGAGCCACCGCCAGTCCCTGTGCGGCAGCGGATCCGGAAGCATCGGACGGGAGAGAGGACGTAGGACCAGTGCAGAGTGCAGCTGAGTCGCAGCGGGGCAGGGGGGCCCTCCTCCTCGGACATGGCCCGCTGCCAGCGCACGCGGGACACAGTGACGGCCTGCACCCGGGGCAGAGGGGCGAGCAGGCTATTGGCGTCCACCACCTGGCAGAAGAGAGAAGGCTCGCCATGGTCCCAGAGCCCACGGGAGGCCCAGGGTGCCTGCCCCCTCACGGTCCCGCTCCCCAGCACCCCCACCCCACTGGCCCTCTGAGCGGAGGGAACATTCTGCCTCCCGTGCCCGGACGCTCACCTGGAGCTCCCCGAGACGGCAGACAAAGCTCGCCTCCTCCAGGCTGCCAGGGGGCCGGGC